CAAACATACACGCATACATGCAAACATGTGCACAAACACACATAAAAACAAACATACACGCAAACACACACACACACACATTAAAACAACCCCTGCAGTTAAACATTTAGACTTTTATGATGTCTCATACAAACCTTTTACAAATAAAAACTTTTAAAATCAAACTGGGTATCTCTACAAGATGATGAAAAGCAGTATGATTAAACAATGATATAACTTTTGTTTTATCAAATAAGTTAAGTTTTGTAGATTTTAAACCTACTGAACCTTTTTAACGACAAACATCTGGTTAGGTTAAGAAGAAAAACAGGAATGTTAATAATGTATATCTGGTGGATGTGATTTCACAGAGGTTCAGGACGATATTAGATAGATAGAGAAAAGACAATAACAACAAAGTGAAATAAATAGGGAGATTTATGTTTTAAACAAACATACACGCAAAACACAAACACAAACATACAGCAAAACACAAACACAAACATAGACAAATATACATTCAAACGCAAACATACACACATACACGCAAACATGTGCACAAACACACATAAAAACAAACATACACGCAAACACACACACACACACATTAAAACAACCCCTGCAGTTAAACATTTAGACTTTTATGATGTCTCATACAAACCTTTTACAAATAAAAACTTTTAAAATCAAACTGGGTATCTCTACAAGATGATGAAAAGCAGTATGATTAAACAATGATATAACTTTTGTTTTATCAAATAAGTTAAGTTTTGTAGATTTTCGATCTTTCGAACCTAAAACCATGATGAGGATTAGAAGCAGTCAAATGATCCTCTGATGAATGAAAGGCAGAGATTTTTCTTTATGAATTAGACCTAAATTAGACTGAAAATGAGTTGTCATAAGGTTGTTTGCAACAAAAGTAATTCTTAAACAAGGTGCTACGAATGTCTCACAGAATCTTAACAACAGATTAGACTTTCTTTCTTACTTTAAAAATGTATTATTAACCATGGTGTTTAAATGCAGCATATTTATTTTTCACAGTATAATGTTTTATTTTATTAAAATAAAAATAACTTTCTATATAGGTTTATTTTACTAAGATTTGATCAAATAATTGTTAGAAGAAATAATTCAAATAATCGATAAGTCCAACTTTTCAACCCCCACCTGATGTGTCTGATGGTTTGTGATGACATAAATATCTTACTGATACAGATGTGTAAAGTTCAATATTACTGTTAAAAATAATTTGAAAAAAGTCATCTTTTTTAGCTTTCATATAGCATTCACGGCCATACTCAGTTGGTTCTTGTGTAACAGAGTCCTGAGACGGGTGAAAATAGAATGCGTGATCAATAACAAAGACTTAATTTATATACCATATCTGGCTTTCTCATCAAAATGTGACACTTTTTTTTTTTGACTTTTTAAATGTCGAACAACCGTTTTTGTTGGAAATAAAAAAAAAACAGTGTTGTGTTTCTAAGTTAGAATCCTTATAGTTTGTAGTAAAATCAAATCTATAAGCTAAAACATTTTTCTTTCAAACTCTCTCACGCACCCTTCACAGACCCCACAACAAACTGACAAAATCATCCTTAAGTTTGTTTGAACATTTAGCTGTAGCTGAGACCCTGATGGAATTATTTTACGCACAGTGCTGGGGAGGTTACTATGGAAATGTGATAGGTTATAGATTACAAGCTACCCTATTTAAAATCTAATAAGTATACAAGTTACCCTATTTAAAATCTAATAAGTAGTGTAACTATTTCAATTACTTTAAAAAGTAATGTAACTCTACATTTGATTACATTTTTTATTACTCTTCTAAATATGTAATGTTTTCAACCGTTAATCTTTTGAAACATGTAAACCAGCCAGGGTTAACATCACAGTAGGACTCAACAACTAATTACGGGCAGACTTTCAAAATCCTTCATGACTTGAATTAGGATTATAATAATTTAATTTTAAAGCACAACCACCGCAAAATCAGACTTGCTTTGAGATTGTTCTGAGATTAAATACACATTTAAAACCATAACAAGATAGTTTAATAGCTATGATACTGTTTTTGAAATCAAGTCTTTGCATAGCTATGACAGGAAACACTGGCATCTAACAACGGCTTGGAAAAATTTAAACTTAAAAAATAAATATACATCACCCAAATAGGAAATAAAACAGTTATCGAATAAGCATGTGTCCTAAACTCCTGAAACATCGGTGTCTCATATTTTAGAGCAGTCAATGCAATTTATGAAAGATCGATTAAATCTGTATGTGTGTGTGTGTGTGTGAAAAAATATTCAGATGTAACCCCTCTGTAATCGTTAACATTTTCATAAGTAACTGTAATTTGATTACACATTTTTTCTCAGTAACTGTAACTGATTACAATTACATTTATTTTGTAATTAAATTACGTAATTTAGCTATATGTAACTAGTTGCTCCCTAACACTGTTTATGCATTATTAATAGATGGTGAAAGAGTTCATTAACCTCTTTAACGTTAAAAATGTGAACAATATCACTTAACACTAGTTTGGCATACAACACTCCTAAAACAAGCCAGACCCCCCGATTTGAAGCATCGTAACAAGTACAGCCATTGCAGAAAATGTATTATAACGACGCAGTAAGATAAAACTCTGGATGCACGATCGACCGTATCGATGTGACGATATCACGTTTAACATATTATTACAAGGCCCTGCTTACAGAGTTTATGGTGAAATATAGGCGTGAGCTAACAGTCTGTAAAAATACCGGTCACGCTCAACATGCAGAGACAGAGAACTCAACAAACATACACCCTTCGGGTCACGTAACACCCCGTCTAACACAACGCACATTCTCCAGAATGCGGTGATGACGGGTTCATAATTTCGTGATGAAGACCGACTGGATATTCAGACACCAGCAGCAGGACCTGATTGACTTTTTATAAAGATAAAGACAATTATTTGCTTTCAGGAACATGCGAATCCTAACGCTTCACAAGATAACATAACAACGGTTGCTCCATTACAACATAGCCTACACGTCAAGCCTGTTTTAGCATACGTGTATCGTATTATTCTTGAATATAAGCGTTTAGTCTAAATAGGTTTAACAATTCTTTTTGTTTTTACTTCAAACATGGCCGCCGGGGATCCATATCCCAAAATACTCATACATGGCAGCGCTCTAAATCGTCGGACTTCCGATTAAACGCATGCTCAGATACCCTATAGAAAAAGACTCACATTTCCACACTTTCTGTGAAGTATACGCTCCTTCCATGTTGTGAAGTTACAAACCCTTTTTTGTGATCCGTGTTAGTGATGCAAAGTCCAATTCACTTCTGCGAAATGATTCATTTGGACAGTTCGGTTCAAATCAAATTTGATGACACATAGTATCCTATACTCTCTCTGATGTATTTCCTGTATTTGGTCCAAGTTAGGGCTGGGTATCGTTCAAAATTTTTCGATATCGATATCGATACCGATACCTTGACTTCGATACCGGTTCCTGAACGATACTTTTTTCGAGACCAATTTTATGAAATCAATTTTAACAAGATTACATTATCTAACAAAAAAACTTTGGTTTTATTTTTCAGCTTGTTGATGTTTATACAGACTCAAAGACTCATCTCCTGAGCCACTGCACAAAGGAACAAAATGTAACCAACACAATAAATCAGTGCAAAATAGTTTTAATAAAGCTCAAATAGTCTTCAGTTTACACATCTGTTAGGCTACATTTACACTAGTTAGTGTTTGTTTTAAAACGCATAGCTCAGACAGAATCATGATTTCTATTTATTTTCCACTGATTTACTGATGAGCATTAGCAGCTTCCAGCGCTGTCTGCCTGTGTTCTCTCTTCCATGATCGCTTCTCTGACTCAAGAGGTAATAACATATTTAATTTCAGCAACATTACATGGCCAAAACACACATTAGATGGCAGGGACTCATTTACACCAATAAAACCAAATTATATGTAATATCTAATTATTATCAATATTTCACATACATTGGAAAGGTTTCCGTGACCTCTCACGAGATCTCGGCAAAAAAGTCTCACGATTTATTTCCACAACATGATGCATGATGGTATACACCAAGCCTCGAATACCGCTCCGGAGTGTGGATTTAGTGTGTGTTAAGGGCACTGCGCTCTGGCGTTTTTAAGACCTGGGACAGTCTTGCGCAGTTCCTGTCGCGCGCACGCGCTCTCAAGTGGCCAAGACCGCAAGTGTGGGTATTTGGACAAG